TTCTAGGGCGACCTGACTTGTCCCTACTGGGGTGTCTTTTCTGTGGGTCATCTGGCTTTGGTTTCTCAGGACTGAGCAGGGCAAGAGCTCAGAGCCTTCACCCAGCACTACCGTGACCTCAGCTGGCTGGCCAGGGTGGGGAGACAGCTTGGGGGGACCCCACTGTTACACCAGAAGAGGCAGGAGGAAACAGAGAGGGGCTGAGCAGACCCAGTCATGCCCACCCGCACACACTCACAGGGCACCCACACCCACACGCACAGCTGCTCCTATGTACAGACAGGCCTGCCCACACACTGCTGTCTGCAGTTCCTCCCAGGACATCCATGCAAATATTCACGTACTTCCAATGTGTACAACTGCAGGCAAGGACAGATAGGCCACAGGCACCCACATGTGTAAAACATGCATATACGAACCCCTGGTTAGACCCGCTCTCAGCCTGCAGCCCCCCTTTCAGGCCCCCATTAGCCTCTATATGGCACTTTGGGCAACAAGCTCAAGAAACTGGCCTTGGAAGGGAATATCTTAAGTCGGGGCTTTGGCTGGGGGTCAGGGCAGAGGGTAACAGAGTGCCTTTGGGGTGTCCCATTTGACCTGGAACGGAGGCTGCCCTAGAGCCTGGGGTCTTAGGGTCTGGGCTTTAGAAGTAGCTTTTGCTGCCTTCCAAGTGAAAAGGCCGGTCTTGCAGGGCTGGGGTGGAGCTCACACCTGTAATTTGCTCCAGGCTCTGGTTTATACTCTGGGCCCCGCTGCAGCAGACAAGCAGTGTGGTCCTTCTGTGTGTGGGCTGGGGCCTGAGCAGCCCGGTGCCAGGGAGGAGCAGTGAGTTGAGCTGGGCTGATTCCTTCTCTTCTTTGGTTTCAATCAACAGTATTTTGGGTCTCCCATCTGCAGGTGAGGATGGACGAGCTGGCCTTTGCTTTGCTCCTCTCTCCTCTCTCTCCCGTTCCTTTACAGAATTTGTTCTCCTCGACCTCCTTTCCCTGGGGACTCGCGGGGACACATGAAACAGTGCTCAGAAGAGTAGGTGCCCTCAGCTATCAGCTGGTTGTTGTTGTTGTCATTATTATTGCTTCTAGACCTCTCCATCCTGGCCATTCCCGATGGACAGGCTTCAGTGAGGCGGCCAGACTGCGCTCCTTCAGTTGGGAAGTTAGAAGATGACATTGGCTTTCTCTTCCTTAGTGTTTATGGTTTGGTTGGAGGGGTGCCTGAGCTCTCCTGCCATCAACTTCCCTAACGCAGGGGAGCAGATGGGCGTCAGCCATTTCCTGAGGGGTTGCTGGAATCTACCTGCACCTGGCCTGGTCCCTGCCTGGCCTTGGGGATGGTTGAACAGGCAGGCTGTGCTTTGCCTGGTAGCCTTCTTGCAGAGTAAAGATGGGGGTGAGGGGTGGGAGGCGGAATTCCCTAGCTCTCTCCTTTGTGGGGGTCCCCAACAACTTTAGGACTCCAGAAAGCCTCCGGGAAACTGGAGGAGTCATGGTGACTCAGTCTCAGGCGGTTCCCCCATTCTTTATTTCAGAGCAACAATAGGAATCAGAGAGCATTAAGGACAACCAAACTAAGTTATCGTAGTTCCAGCTTAAAGAAGAGAAATCAGACAACAGAGTAACAACAATAATAATAACAACCACCACCTTTTGTTGAACCTTTAATATATGCTTTATTTCATTTACTTTTTTAAAATATATTTTATTGATTTTTAACAGAGAGGAAGGGAGAGAGATAGTTAGAAACATCGATGAGAGAGAAATATCGATCAGCTGCCTCCTGCACATCTCCCACTGGGGATGTGCGCGCAACCAAGGTACATGCCCTTGACCGGAATCGAACCTGGGACCTTTCAGTCCGCAGGCCGACGCTCTATCCACTGAGCCAAACCGGTTTCGGCTATTTCATTTACTTTTCATAACAACTTTGTTAGGTCAGTAGTCCTCTACCCCCTTTTTTTCCTGACAAGGAAATTAAGGCTGAGAAAGCTCAAGAGATTTCTACAGGTTTGTGGGACTCCTAGGCTGTTGATACAATCTGTGTATTTCCCTTTTTACTCTGGCTGCTAGGAAGCTCTTTGTCTATCATATTGCTCCATTCTAGTAACTGTTATTTCAAATCTTGGCTTTGACTTTTAATTTCTGCTTAAACAACTTTATAGTATTCACATTTTTAACTGTAAACTCCCACATCTTTTGTAGAGAGAGATTAGAATAAGTGAATGAACAACCAGCAATTGAGCATTCTCTTGGTCTCTGAGGATGGGAACCATA